TGGAGGCGGCGGAGATGGTTCCACTGGTCGGGCCAACTCCGCCGCTGAGCGCAGCGTCGCGTACTTTGGTGGTTCTTCGTGGTTGATCCATGACTCGTGCGTGTAACCTGCGGGTAGATTGGTTTCGGTAAATCGATTACGTTTATGAGGCACTTGGTGGATGTAGTGGCATTAATCGTCTAATAAACTTGCTTCGTTAAATGGGAAAGCTCGTCTTAGAGACTCGAGCTCTTGTGACTTATCATTAGTGGCGCATAATTTATCAAATCTAGGTTTCTTGGTATAACTTGTATTTTTATGAAAGATACTTTCCAAGGTTTCGTCAGTTTTGTAACTTGATAGTTTAAGAGATAGGTTTTAGCATCTAATATCTGTTTGATGACATTATCTCATCAAGTTTCATACGTTAAGCAATATTTTGCTGCGTCTCATTCTTCTGATATTTTGCATATCGTATGTTTGATAAAATTTAATGAATTCTCATTTGTGTTAGAAAATGTATCTTTTATAATCTACTTATTTATAAACTTGTAAACGAAGGATAAAATTTATGTATATTCCATTACATTTCTCAATTTTGATCGAGGAGGATTATCGAAATGCAAATTATCGATACAGGATTAACAATTGAAATTATCAATCTCGGCGTGTTGGTGCAGGTAACGAATTGGCTCAGTCACTGTCGGGGCTAAAATTAACACGGAATATTAAGTAATGAGGGATACACGGTCAATCAAACTTAATGGGGGATTCGAAGCTGATTAGGGACTGCTAATGAATAATGCAAATTGAAGGTTTCGCGTCTCGAAATTCATGCGATCGAAACTCGTATCCGTTGAGGGTTCAATGAACTCCTTTCACCCTTTCTAGTTGCAACGAATCAGATCGCTCGATCAGCTAAGTCCACTCGAAATAAACAACCCTAATTCCAGAAAAAAAATGAAATTAAAGCAGAAACAACCAGAATATTTTTAATCGAAAGAATTCCAGCTCTAGAGAACCAGCTCCATATTTTTTTAATAAATCACAATTTGAATTGAAAAAAAAGAATCATAAAACAAATTTTTTTAGTATTAAATATTCCAATAAATCCAAGACAAATATTGGATGTGTCTCTTTCTACGTCCACGAGAGAATGCGAGAGAGCGTTCAACAAAATTTTAATATATCTATTATAATTAATGCATTCATGAAAATATTATTTCTGGAAATTATAACATTATAATGGAATATCTGTATCATCTGGATCATCCATGGTGAAAAGTTATTTCAGTCCATAATAAAAGCACATATCGTACTATGTGACTTCATACGGATGTTTGTAACTTTACAATTTAAGATTTATATGACTTCGTAATTGTTGCGTAATTTTCAGACCTTGCTCATATATATAACTAAAAATATATATAGACAGAAAATAAGAGACTTCTTACAACTAGGTACGATCTCTTCGATTCCGCGATAATACGGAAAAGCATTTTTCAATTAACCCGAAACCAGTCTGCAATATTCTCGCAGCAACGAAATTCTATCCAACACAGCTGAAATTTTGTCCATCGACGAGTTTTCGTATTCCATCCATAAAAGTTTCCTTTAATTTGGCCATTTCCGTGGCGAACGATTATTGGAAACGGTTGCTGGTTCGAAAATTAAACGCCACGAGGTTTTCCGATTCACAGGGTTGCGCCGCGTGGTCCGTCGTGAATACGAACGACGAATCGAGCCAAGCCACGAAATGACAGCCTTTAATTATCTTCGGAGGATTTTCTCGGCTGGAACGAGACACGTCGTCGGCGAAAATTAAAGGGCATCGATAGCGCGATACTTCTGTCTCTTTTTCTTCCTTGTTTCTCTCTTTTTACTTTTCGTTCTAACGTGTATAGGTGGCAGCCGGTTCATTCGCAACCCCCATGGCCCCTGCCATGAATATTTGAATTCGTGAATCACACGGAACCGGTGCGCCGTTTCATTTCCTGTTGCTGGCACGCGTCAGCTGGTCCCAGCATGTGCGATTGTTAACGAGAAAACGACCAAAACGAAGAAAAGGGCGATGAGTTTCTTTCTGTATTATACTAAAGGGTATCTGTTGCGTGTGTGTGGGAAAAATTTCTATGGAAGAGGACTAAACGTGTTGGCGTATACAGTGACGAAACGAGTGGATACTTGGTGTAGTCAAATATATTTAAAAGTATGTTCGCTCGATGATAATCGCTGTAAAATTGCTCGATACTCACTAATTGACTGACTCATACAAAGACTGACTGACTGATAACTGATAACTAACTGATTCGTGATTGACTACTGCTAACTGATTCTGGTTGATAAGACGGCTCGATAAAAATTGACTACTGATTACTGATCGACTCATTGTCTTAACGATCGTGTTCGTTTATTTATACTGGTCGTGGGAGTACCGGAAATGTTAAATTCAACTTGGGTTGACGGTTGCGCGTAGCGGCTATGTCGTTTTGTTCGAAGTTTGTTTATTATTACATTTCGTACATCATAACGGTGTTAATGTCAACGGTGTAATGCTTGAGGCAAAACAACAACATGAGTCTCTCTGGATTTGCATCGTCCCCTGATTTATGTGCTGCTACATGTCTCTGTGACACGTGAATTTATCTTTTTTCTTTTTTTGTTAAGAACTTTTATATCTTTTTGTAGTTTTTACGATCTTTACATTTTTTTATGATTTTTTTGTTGTCTCCATGATACGTGGGTTTATTCTTTCGTTGAATTAAAATTGAAGTGCACCTTTTGCATTGGTTTCATAATTTCTAAGATTTGTACTATATCATGACGAGTCAGGTTGTTTCATATTTTCTTCGTGTTTCTTAATTTTATTTTGGTGTTTTGTGATATTTCTAAATAAGGATTCTCGACCTTTCATTGTCTATTTTTCGTAAATGGCGGTCTGACGCTTACAAGAGTTCTGTTGTCACTGGCACATGACAAATGTCAAGATAAAATATTATCCAGCGTTTATCTACGTCATCTATGTTTAACTACGCAAGAACATGCCTAAGCCATCCATTAAAACTGTCAATCGATAAAAACGTAGAAATTTTAACGGAATCTAGCGTCTGAAATCTAGCAAATCTGAAATCTACCTCGTAAAAATAGCTTTTATCCAAGGACAATTGTCCCAATTTTCGCATCCATCATTTTCATTAAAAATGTCAACATTATTTTTCCCCTATGTTGATCGACGACTAAACTAAACAATGAAATTCAACAATAACGCCCCATACATTGTCATTAACTACAACTGGTATCATTGGAACATAATCGACCACCATAATTTCACTTCAATTTCAATTCGACTACTTGATCTCGGATCATCTATTGTAGTTCTAATTCGTATTTTATATCCTATCTTGTAACAAATTCTTCGTCGCAGAAAACAAACTGAAACAAAGTACAGAAACACTCAAGTATCGTCGACAATGCCAATTACGAGTTAAAAACACGTGCTCCATTATTTCTCAAACCTTCAATGAACAACTATAGCAACACTTTTCAACCGAGTCAAACTTTTCATTCGACGTCAGTTCGGCTCTAGTTGTGCTCTAAGTACACTTTCGGAAGAGTTCCACATAATGTTCAGCGAAACAGTTAAACGGTCGGTCCTTCCTTTTATTGCCAGTGTCCACGCGACAGGACACGCGACAGTTAGCCTTCGATGCCACGTTGCCTTCCACCGGACACGATCGATACCGCCGCTGCGACAATGTAACGCGACATTCGCATTGTTGCGAGTAGGACCCGAACACTGGAGCGCAGAAATTGCCTGCCCATGTCGCGGCGTCGTCAACCCCGTGTCTCTGTGCTTTTTACCGTTAGCTGCGCTTCTTCTCGAGAGACAAAAGTTGGGAATTCGTGCTATAATAAGTTTCAAAGTATTTCCTCCGATACAAATATACAGGGTGGTTGGTAACTGGTGGTACAAGCGGAAAGGGGGTGATTCTACGCGAAAAAAGAAGTCGAAAATATAGAATAAAAATCTTTTTTTAACTCTTTTTTTTTTTAATTTTTCCATCGAGACAACGATCTACAGTGAGATCCATTATAACGTACCGCACGCGTACCGAGCGAAAATTCAAAGTCGATTTTCTCGAAAACAAAGCCACAAACGAAATATTTTTATTCTATATTTTCGACTTCTTTTTTCGCGCAGAATCACC